GTACTCCGTGTTCTTCTGTATGCTTGCATCCGGTTATTCTTTTACACTAACGCTATTTACCAACGCATTTAACTCACGCTCGGTAGTTGACTTACATAACTTTAAATTTTATGACATACACCCCAACCATCCTAAGAGACTTGTCAAGCACTTGCATTTTAACCCCTTTATAAATCATTGCCCAATGTTCATTGTTGGGAGCACTTTGGCCACAGTCTGGAGATATACCACATGGTTCCCAAATGACTAGCGTATATCCTTCTAGTGTTGTATATATATATATATATATATATATATATATATATATATATATATATAAATTGTGTTATCGGATAGTCTCTCACACATCTCGTCACTGGTCGAGTAACCGCTTGCGGTAGCCAGCGTTTTTTTGCTGCACGAGACTTTTCGCATGAGATTGCCGTTGCTTATAACTTCAGACCGTCGATAACATTTAACCGAAAAATACTACTTTAAAACTGTTCTTGTGTACTCTTCTCGTGCTACCTGAAAGAGAAGTGAGTCACTCCCCACCTTCAACAAATGCATGTTATGGACAAAGATAGAATAACACTAAACCGTTGATGTTTCAAACATTTGCCACCTCTCTTGCATACCAACATAAACTGACTTGACTCCTACTATATCTAAATGGCAATGAGCCACTTTCTCTGCATCTGGACAGCTAGGGACAACTCCGTTATGTTGCCCGTCTTTTGTTCACTTCTACATGTTTATAATCCTAATCCGAACAGGTGTCCGTGTGACTTTCAGGTTGTCAAACACGAACTTGCAACTGACCAACAGCATATGCTGCTTATATTCTTGGCACAGTCAACCAATGGCAATCTGATGGCAGCCCCCATGCTTGTCTCATTGTTTGCTAGGGTGGAATATCAAGAGTTTGCGATTCTACTGGGCTATCCTGTGCTGCATCGACCAAAAAGTAAGTTTACCAAAAGTTTTCTTATGCAGTAGAGTTGCGTGTTTCACTCGGAAAATACCAAGATAGTTCTACCGGGTTCTAAACATTACCACCTTGGTGATGCCCTTATGATGTCAGTCGCTCCCAAGTTTGTTTGCTGCATCTTGTCGGTAGGGAAAATTAACCAAGGGGTGTTTGTAAGGTGCAAACCGTCGTAATGACGGGAAAACACCGTTCCAAACTGAATTCACTTGACGAGTAATAGCAAGAAAGTTAAGAAACAATCCTACCAATGTGTTAAAATCGTACTCCCTTTGATAACGAACACTGCAGACAGATCAACCCTGATGTTTATAATGATATAAACATTTGCCTGATCTAGCGCTTCGACGAGGAATCAGAGTGTACTGAAGTCATTCATGGGTTGTCATTTAGATCATGTTATTACCGTTTCTGACACATGGAAATTCACGGGAGTTTATTTACTTTTGTTCTGGAGTGTTGTTATTTACTTTAACAAATGACACAAGCACAAACGGTCATCTCGCTGGAATATTTCATAGAAACAGACGTTATCCTCTAGAACTCACTGTATTCGGTGTTCTGCTATTCTGTCATCAATGCATGAGCGTTCTCCAGTATTCCACTCGGGAATACCGCAAAAAATACTGTTCTTTGTTAGCTCTCGATTTTAATCTCAGCAGTCCTGTTAGTTTAAATAAAGTTCAGTGGCTCGCAAGCTAGTCCACTATTCGTTTTGAATCATCTGTTACTGATAAGTGTCAGCCGTTAAAGATTCTATAAAAATCATTCAGGATATCAGTTGCTGATCCGTGCGAACAGTTACGTGCATCTGCTCAGGATCTAGTAGAAATTTGAGCACGCTAACTGGGTAGTAGGTAAAACCGTTTTGCTTCTTAAAATTAACAGATGTCTTATGTCTATCAATTTTTAGTCAATTCACTGAAGATTGTGCAAAAGTAGGGTATTCACAACATTTACGAAGGCTGTTGGTGATGGTAATATTTGAAAACGGTTACAAATGTTGTATTCCGATGTTGTTAACTTCCGCTAAACACCAACTCACAAGTGCTCTGCACCGTAGTGCGTCCCACTTCAGGTCTATCTAGTAGGGAAGTTTGAAATAGTGTCTTATGTCAAAAGTTAGTTCCGAAAGATAGTTTATCAGTGTGGAATACATCGGTTCGTCTCTAGCTTAGTACTACCTTGTTTCAGCGCGTCTTCATTCAGTGGATACAGATCACGAATTGCTGTAACTGTGCACATCCTACCTTACACAAACTTTTGTGCTTACCATCTCAGTTTACTCAGTCGCTTGGTATCACTAACAGTAACAGCCAGCATAGTTGCATCCGGCACACGTTCTACTCCTTAGGATTCACTATGCTCCTGCTCACTCCCACATTCTAGGATTGTTTGTTCCCTACAGCCTGGCATGTGCCGTCTTTATTATTCCTCCAACATCAGTTTACCAACCCGAAGCCAATGAACAAGTGGACAATAAACTGTGGGCCGTGGCTGTTGTCTTGGCAATTCTCTTGGCTATCTTAAGCATTCACTGGATGGTTTTCTATGCACACCACCACTTTTGTAAAGTTGCACATTTTCCTATGAGGATACGTTCTTCAAACAAGGAGGATGAGAAGGAGCGTTCGTCGACACATATCAAGGAAAGAGAAATCGGAAATAAAGTGAGCTTTGTTTAACTTTACATTTGTTTGGTAGTTTGTTAAATCTATGCACCTTAAGCACGATCACAGAGTTATTGAGCAGCTCGTGTTCGCTCCCAGCCTTTCTTGCAATCTAGCTTACTAGACCTCCGCTACTGTTAGCCAGAAGAGTTTAAAAAATCCATTTTCCTATACAAGTAGAGTTGCAGGAATCAGCGCGTACATGAACTTTGATAACTGTACTTGCATTTTCGATTTTAAAGTGCTTGCACGTAGAAGAAGACGCAAATCGATGGCATCTGGTAGTACATTAATCAGAAACAATCCACTGGGAAGCTACAGCATATCAGCGTATGTTCCGAGGACGATCTACGGCGATGTAACGGACGAAAGGTTCATTCACCGTTTACTAATAATGTGCTTCATCGAGTGCTAGCAACAGAAAGTAGCAACCGCCAAACGTGGCAAATCCGTCCGACGCGCATCGGTCAGTGGGGGAATGTGGCAAATAAAAACCCATCTTCTAGCTTTGTTGAGATAACTTAAATAACCGTTCCACCCTACTGCGATTACTCTGTCCTTTGCACGTCGGTCGCTAGTGTCGTTTACATTCCAGTACCAAAAGTTTAACGAATAGATATCAAAGCAAACAAAATCATGGAAATCAGCGGATGAAGGATAGAATCTCCACATCGTCAACATGGTACAAGTTAAACGTGAGCAACACGCTTTAGCTCTTGCGGCGCAAGGAAAAGAACAATGTTGTTACTTTTTCACAAGAAAATTTTTATTTGTTTTCTCTGGTTAGTTTTTAGGTGTTAAGCATCTGAATCCAGACAAGTATGTACACGGTTCTCCTACTGGTTTCAAATGCGCGCCATTTCCCGAATTGTTTCCAGCCATCAGTACTTTCTACCCTTAGGTTCCCAACAGGCAGGTGCGTGCATCCAACGGTTAAGAGGTGAAGTCACCGATTTCGTGCGTTGTCTCCAGGTGGATCGTTGACGACAGCGTGGTCTCTTCCACTCGATACCTGGTCTTTTCCAGCCAAAATCACAAGGATATTTTAGATGGAATAATGCTGACGATTCCCCAGGGAGGAAACGGTCGCACAGTGCTTTTTCGGGTGTGACAAGTGCTTGACTAAAACTAGATGTGATGAAGTTCCACTTTTAACACTACTTATTTAATGGCGCATCTTCCACCTAAAAAGCCAAGCGGTTTAAAAGCAATCCTTTCACGACTTGTTTTGTTACCGGTCCCACGGTTCGGTCATCCTCCCCCGCCAGCTGCACCCTGTGCATGAGTCCGTGTATCGATGTGGAGCTGGCTCCCGCAACTCACAACGTCAACTCACCTCCACCCCAAACTTTCACATTTACGTAGATTATCATTCATGCTAATTCTGAATACTAGTTTTCAGGCGTGTTACATATGAGTTCTCTGGGAAGCTAACTCTACTACGCTAATTACCTCAGTGGTGGGTCGATTCGTTTATCTAATAGCTGCTCCACATTATGAGTAAATCTGCATTCCGCTGTCTGTCAAAGTTTCTGTTTGAACAACGATTACAGGTCCTATAGCTTCTTGCGTCAGGCTTTCTTATGCAAGTTATCCTACGATTTCAAAAGCAACATTTATATGAAGGCTAAATACCCCTTGCAAAATCCATACAGGTGTTCCACAAACAGCTTGTCTTGAAATGAGGCAACACAGTTGTTATTCCTCCGAACTCTCAGTATGGGTACACGAAACTTTCCTATAAATTGAAATTTTCCGCACAGAAGATGGGAAGTTGAAGTCCAGGATCAACCTTGTACCTCGTACAGTGCTTATCTTAGCCACATTAGAGAGAGTAAGGAAACTGTCTGCGTCTATTGTCCTCAATAAATGGGTTATCCTCATCGAATTACCTCAGAAGTGCAATAATGAAGCGTGGAATCAGTTCAGTGCGCATTAATCAGTGGCCCTAATTGGCGACAAATGCATATTCGATGCATCGCTCGCAAGGTCAATAAGCGCCTCACATCTAACTGGGTAATAGGATTTTTCTGATTGTAATGTTCAACGTTATACAGTCTTGGCATTTTTTCTGAATAGTCCACTTCTCGACAATCGCAGCTTATCGAGGAAGCTTACCAACTCGACTAATTGTCATTCCAAGTGGGAAGATACCAGCCTAATTAACCCACTTCAAACTTGCTGCTTCGTTGGACAAGAAACGCTCAACCCAGACAGCTTATATTTTGCCACGCTAGTCTAGTAAATATCAGGAGTTTATGTTAACCATTATTCCCGTTATTATCATTAGTATAGGTGGGGAAGTAAATGCAAAACCAACAATAAAAATTGTTTGCGTATGACGCGTAGCCGTTGATAGACACAGAACGACATAAGCCAACGCTGTCTCCATCGTGAAGCATATAAGTTGACGGTCAAGTGATATGCTGACTTTCGATATTGTTCAGCGATCGTTACTAGTGAACTGTATACTCAGCACACAATGTTAGATGAGAACACGTGTGTTCGCTGTGTGTACTAATTTTCAGCATTTGCATTTTTGCTTACTGGAAGAGGACGAGCTGAGATTGCACCTTATTAGATCTGCTCAATATAAAATGCTGAGCGTGAGAGAGGAACGCTTTCGTGTGTCCTCGCAAAATTACAGATTTGCCTTCGTGTGACTCAGGCTGTCTAAATTTCGGCGAGCAACATCGATTCGTAGAGCAGTACACCAATTGGAAAGCAGGTGAACTGTAATTTTTTTGTGTTGGTGGATCTCAGCACAGTAACGACCACCACAGAGACTGATCTGACAGCCCTCATAGCTTCCGGCGAGACACCGCAGGAGGTGCGTGACCATCAGGATCATCATGAACCCGATTGCATGGTGCAGAGAGTTATCCCAAGTCATTCTCGGGAGCCGAGGACTATTTAAAAAAACCAGCAGCAGCCGACCTCACGGGGGTCGGCCAAGTCTCCAACCCGTTGTCCACATCCACAAACAACCTTCTAACATATAATAAAATAAAAATAAAATTTGTATATTTACCGACGGACGGTACACGGCCCCATAAGTGGGAGCGATCATTTGTATAGTGAACACGTTTCATAACATTAAAGAAAAGTTTATTGATAGCATTTCGGATCATGATTACTTTTCCTTGAGTCCTAGACCCGCGCAACTCATATGTAAAATTTACGGATGTTTGTATCGTCAGGAGTAGATAATAAAGGAAGGGACTATTAGGCTGCAAAGACACAGGATTTGGTATGGTATGTAATGACATGTAGTGGGTAAGCTAGCTGTAAGCTATTATCATATGTTTTTTATACCAACTTCTGTCAATGTTTCTAGTGTTTGCTGTGAGTCAAATATCTTCAGAGCATTTGGTATAGTGAGGAAGGTCTGAAGGAGATTTCGAAAAGTGACATGGCTTGTACACATGCGTATCTGTAGGGGTAGTTTGTTCCACAGATAAGTGTATCTCACTAAGAAGAAATTCGACCGAATTTTATGACTTGAAAGGTTTGTACGTATCAAGTAGCCGCCATTACGTGTGGGGTAGACTGCAGTCTTCCGTAGTTCAAGTGCGGTGCTGTCTGCGTAAATTCGTTGGTTTATAATGTTGTAGAAGAGAACGAGGTTGTTCTTTAAGCGTCTCAGCCAAAGTGGATCCAGCTGGAGTTTTCGACAGCGATCATAATAAGTCAGGTTTGAGCAGCGTCCCATGAGCAGCTTGGTAAATGATCGTTGGACATTTTCTAGAGCCGTTCTGTCTTTCTTTCTCAATTGGCTGTGAACGATAGTACAATATTCCAGAGTCGGTCGTACGATTGTCTTGAATGATTCAAGTCGTACTTCAGGTAGGGAGAAAGTTCTGGTGATATATCCGCATAGCTGCCTTGCTTTCGCAACCTGATAAAGAACATGTTCGGAGAAATTGAAAGAGTTGGAGTACCTAATTCCTAAGTCCCGAACTGAATCAGACGTTGGGATCACGTTTCCGGCAAGTATAATGGAGCCTTCTGGGATGCGGCATCTGTACCCAAGTACTTGGGATTTCACTGCGGAGAACTTCATTAATAAACGCTCACTAGCTATATTTAGTGCGGATAGGTCTTCACAGATGTTCCCCAAACACATATGTAGTTGGTCTGGATGAAATGAGTAAACCAGTTTGACATCATCTGCAAACAGAAATGGATGTCCATGTTTGATCGGGTCACATATATTGTTTACATAGATTAAGAAAAGTAGCGGTCCGAGCACACTTCCCTGGAAGACACCGCTGGTTATTGGCTTCGGTGTAGAATGTTGCTGACCGATTTTAACGACCTGAGTTCGACCGTTTAGGTATGAGTCGAACCAGTTAAGCAGCGGATTTCCAATTCCATATGACTCTAGAGCAGACAGCAGTGGCTGGTGTGGCACGCGGTCGAACGCCTTTTGCATGTCCAACAGAATTATAATAATTGCCATTCCTCTGTCAATCATAGTCGTGATGTGATCGAGAAATTGTAGCTGGCATGTAACGCAGGAGCGTTTTGAGAGAAAGCCGTGCTGTGAAGGGTTGATCAGATCCAGTCTTGTAAGATATTGGACGATGTTCTTCTTGACTATTCGCTCTAGGGCTTTGGAAGCAGCAGAGGTGTGATTTATTGGGCGGTAGCTTGACATTTGATTTCTCGGTCCACCCTTGTGCTTAGGCATTATAATGGATTGCTTCCATTGAGCTGGAAAGCAGCCGGTAGTGAGTGAAAGTGTGAAAATGTTTAGTAACAATAGTGCGAGGTTTTTTCCTCCGAGTTTTATAACAGTTGGGGAGATGCCATCTGGACCTGGATGAGTTGATGGTTTTATGGCTGCGATGGCACTTTGCACCTCTCTTAACGTCACAGGGATATTGCAGTATAGTTCGGTCGTTCTTTTTGGAAGTGGAGGATGAAGTGGCTGAATGTTGGGGACAAAAGAGGAGGCAAAACTAGAGTTCATGGCCTCGCATATACAGGAGATGTCG